CCCCAGTCCACCCCACACACACTTCAACCGACACACACCCAACACCCGCCCCACCAAGCTACCCCACCCACAACCACCCACACCCACCCACCTCACTCATACAACCACCCACCCCTACCCCACCACCCATGCCCAACACACCTCACACCCGCCCCACGCCCGCTCATACTCGCCAACAACCACTACTCTACATGCACCCGCTTCACCAACCCACCTCACACTCACCCACTACCACCCACACCCACCTACCCCAACCCACCCCACTCATACAACCACCCACCCCATACCCACCCCACTCGTACAACCACCCACCCCATACCCACCCCAGGGACTCGTACAACCACCCACCCTCTGGTGGAAACAGGGGCATTCTCGCTCTAAACTCAACAAACAGAAGATGATAAACCTTGCGCGTGGGTCGAGTTACAGCAACACGAACACTGCAGATTGGCCTCGTCTGGCACACAGAGCACTGTAGCCATGGTAACGTGACAGCGGTGTGTAACATTACGTACAACAACAACAACAACAACACGCTCCTGGTTTTCCGCAGCGGCGGCAGCTTCCAAAGGATTCGTAAAAAAAATTCGGGAAAAAATGGCAAGACGTGGGATTTAAAAATGAAATTTATTGTTTTTAAAGTTCACTTAGAAATGAGATAGAAGGTAGGAACCGTCAGGGTTTCTGGAAAATTGGCGATGTTCCTGGGAAGTCCTGAAAGATGGACTATGATTGTGTTTGATCTTCAAAAGACCTTGAAAAGGCCCTTTGAAATTGACCTTGACCTTGTCTACCGTGTCTAGAAGGATCTAAACTATTGCTTCGTTCAATAATTTGTTGACTTATCATTGATTGAAAGATACGAGGTACAAAGATTGTAGTTAGCTTAAATGATTGTCTGGGGCCTGTTGTTTGGTGTTGTTTAATGTTGTTTGATGTTGTTTAATGCTGTTTAATGTTGTTGAATGTTGTTTAATACTGTTTAATATTGTTTAATTATGTTTAATGCTGTTTAATGTTGTTTAATGTTGCTCAATGTTGTTTAATGCTGTTTAATATTGCTCCATGTTGCTCCATGTTGCTCAATGTAGCTTAATGTTGTTTAATGCTATTTAATGCTGTTACGTAATTGTTAATCTAACGCCATTATGGTTCTTGACTTTACCGATGCGTGTACAGACATGTGCATGGTGTTTGAGGTTGTTCAATGCTGCTTAATGTTGCTTAATGTTGCGCAATGTTGTTCGATGCTGCTTAATGTTGCTCAATGTTGCGCAATGTTGTTCAATGATGCTTAATATTGCTCAATGTTGCTCAATGTTGTTCAATGCTGCTTAATGTAGCCTAATGTTGTTTAATGCTATTTAATGCTGTTTAATGTAATTGTTAATCTGACGCCATTATGGTCCTTGACATAGCTGATGCTCAGACGTGTGCATGGTGTTTGAGGTGCTCGGACACAACCTGCTGAAGCTGATCATTCGCTCCAACTACCAGGGCATTCCCGTGCAGAACGTCAAGACCATCATACGGCAGGTGAGCTAGACTGCCACCGCCGTCCCCGCCGCGTGAGGCGGGAGAGGCACGCGCGGACGTCGGGCGCCGGTCTAACCGTCGCTGCGCGATCGTCTCGTGTGGGACGATCGCGTTTAGTCCGCTGCCGTCACTGTTGGCTGTTGGCCGGAAATAATTTCACAACTAGTTACAACTCTACAACTTTTTCACTAATGCCATCACCACCAACCCCACTTCTCCCCATCCCTCTTCTCCATCCTCCTCCACTCCCTTCCACCCCCTCCACTCCTTCCACTCCTTCCACTCCATCCACCCCTAAACCCCTCCACTCCACCCCTTCCACCCCCTTCCACCATGCCTTCCCCCTCCTCCACCCCCAGCCTCGGCACCCCTCATCCACCCCTCATCCACCCCCCTAAACACTTGGACAGCGTCTGCGCGTGCTAACGAGATCGTATGCTCTATTCGCAGGTGCTTCACGGACTGGACTACCCACCCATCCAACCCGCAATCCCCTGTCACCCATCCTCCCTACCCTCCTACCACCCCGCCTGCCCTCCACAAATCCGCTCAACCTGCTTCACCAGTGTCGTGAGTGCCCCATCCGCCTCCTGCGTGTGTCCATGCTCTCCCTCCTCCACCCCCCGCCCACCTCCCTCCACCAAACCCTTCACCTTTTCCCCATCTACACCCCACCCCTGTCGTCCGCGATGCTCCTGCTCGGTCGTGCTGTTCGACTCACCCATGTGGTGTGGTCTCGTGCCGCTCTGTGTGCCCTGATGTACGTGGATATCTGGTCTTCCCTATTCGCAGGCTTGCTCAAGGTCTGGACTACCTGCATCGTACCCGTGCTCGTCATTCACGCACGGACATTCAAGCCGATGAGAACCATAATGCTGTGCATAGTGTCGGTAGGATGCTAGTGTACGCAAGCTCGCATACTGCTAGTGTCTTACGCTCGAGTGCAGGAGATGGCTTCAATGCGTGCCCCTACTCATGCAGTAAGTAGACTTCCTCCCTTCCTGTATATATGCTGTGATTGTGTATGTCATGTGTGTGTGATGTATGTGTTGATGTGTGTGTAGTTACTGTATGTGTGTATAGAGACACGAGAAGAGAGAGATGAGAGAAGACGAGAGCAGGAGAGGGGGGGAGGGGAGAGGGAAGCAGAGAGAGAGAGAGGAGAGACGACGAGAGAGAGAGAGAGCAGCAGCAGAGAGAGAGAGAGAGAGAGAGAGAAAGAGAGAGAGATGCAAATGTATGATGGAAATAAGTAAAGATATGGTGTCTTCTGTTTAAAATTTACGCTTTCGAGACAAGATGTCTCTATTTCATAAAATAGGGTACATAATAAAATAGGACATATACATAATTACTTACATTTACGACATATATATGTCATAATATGTCATATATACATGTATAATAATTATAAGAATGTTGTAGAACGTTGTGATGTCATCACTCTGCGCGTGTTTGTGACGTCATGTAATCGCGTGCTCGCGTCCCGTCTCTCAGTCAGCACAGCTCCGCAGGAGAAGCCGGCAGCCGACCAGAAGATGTCGAAGAACAAGAAGAAGAAGCTGAAGAAGAAGCAGAAGCGGCAGCAGGAGCTGCTAGAGCTTCAGCAGCAGCAGATTCTCGAGCTCGAGTTGGAGGTAAGGATGATCAGATGCCTCCGCGCTCCTGTCCTGGCCCTCGGCCTAACACTAACCCTAATCTAATCCTTACCCTAACCCTAACCCTAACACTAACCCTAATGTAATCCTTACCCTAACCCTAACCCTAACACTAACCCTAATCCTTACCCTAACCCTAACACTAATCCTAATCTTAATCCTTACCCTACTGCTAGCCTTAGCACTAATCCTAACCTTAAAGCTAGCTTCAACCCTAACCATAATCTTAAATCTAAACCCTCGCCCTCACCTTGAAGGACTGTTCTGTGTGACTTTCGGCTGTGTAGAGAAGTGCACTCACTACTCTACTGCTACTACTACACTTGTAGAGAAGTGCACTCACTACTCTACTACTACTACTACTACACTTGTAGAGAAGTGCACTCACTACTCTACTACTACTACTACACTTGTAGAGAAGTGCACTCACTACTCTACTACTACTACTACACTTGTAGAGAAGTGCACTCACTACTCTACTACTACTACTACACTTGTAGAGAAGTGCACTCACTACTCTACTACTACTACTACACTTGTAGAGAAGTGCACTCACTACTCTACTACTACTACTACTACTACACTTGTAGAGAAGTGCACTGTGTTGAGAAGTGCAACTCAGAGAAGTTGCAGTGCTGTAGATAAGTGGTCAGAGTCACGGTTCTGTAGATGGCCAATGCATCATGTATTATTAATAAGCGAAACTGCTTCGTCATCGAAACAAAAACCGTCTGCTAAGCCAGAGTTCTACGCGCAGCAGGAAGCTTAAAACGCGTTTCCAACATGGCCGGAGAAACTGATGCGTCGTCATGGTTACGTTGTCGCTGCTTGCGGGCGTGGGGTTAATGCGGGGTCATGTGATGACGACCTCTTATCCGCGATCTCTCTCCAGGAGCGGAAGAGTAAGTCCCTGCCTCTTCTCTATCTCTCTCTCTCTCTCTCTCCCATCTCTCTCTTTCTCTCTTTCTTTTTCTCTTTCTCTTTCTCTCTCTCTCTCTCTCTCTCTCTCTCTCTCTCT